GAGGGTCTAAAAACAATAGCATTATCGAAGAAATACAACTAACGTGATTACACTTCTATGAATTACGATAGCATAAGGAAATGCAAGCGCGTTGTTTAAAATAGGATATACAATAGTATAAAGTGAATGATATTTTGGGGGCTATGAGTGAGATCTCACGCAGTCAATCTCGAAAAAACGTCTAACATGGTGTCTCTACTTCTATATATTTTCAAACCTAGCGAACTAAAGAATTGACCACTCTGGATCCCTTATACTTGGATACCTTAACCTGTGTGGCTCCATATGCCGCCACTCTTCAGTACATGTAATCATACATACTTTGGAATCAATTCATATCATATCAATAATCATATTGGCGATAGAAGGGAAAATAAAGAAAGAAAAATCAAACCAAGTAAAAGTATGTCCAAACCCAAGTTGAGTCCAAGAATACCAACACCCCATTAATGTCAAGCACCAAGAGTATCCTTGTCACAGCAAATGACCGTATCGGGAGCTATATTATATATACTAATCAGAGACATAAATCATTATATTTTATATTTTGACTGGGAGGGACTAACGAAGATGTGTCGACCAATGCACTATATAATCTCAATAATATGAAGATGGTTTGAAGAAAAACTTATGTACAGTATGTCGATTTAGAAAAAAAAGCGCGTCATTCTAGGATCCAAAACATGATCTACACAACTTCCCAGACGTATGAAACCACGATATTCGAGTCTCTAGTTTCCCCAAGAAGCTGGGTGTCGGCTTTTATCCAAACAAGATGGAACAGGGTGCGACAACGACTAAACATATCGACGTCAACAGGCCGGTCACGTAATCTTCGTAGAACGACTCTTGGATGAAAAGCGAAGAGATTGTTTGCGTCGGCATGAGTTGATAATCTCAATCCAAACGAGCAGAATCAAGAGATTGGGTGCTGTAAGTGGACAAAAAAAGGCCCCTCTGCTGTAAATTGACAAAAAGGCGAATCTGGACGAGAGCAGCTTCTTCGAGCTGGAAAAGGGATCAAATATTGTAAATTCGGCATCATCTGTTTGAGACTGCAGCAAACGACTGTCCCATACTGCGAGGGGTTACTGTGCTCTGCGTAGGTTGCTAGGGTAGTCGAGCTTCCGAGCTTTACTGTACCACGTGAGTTACCCGTAGTGATACTAATGGGCCTGCCATGCCCCTTGTCTTGTTACCACGTTAGCCGTGTGGTTCCCTCCTTGTTCGACCACTCTGTTCTTATTACGCGGTGCCCCTCGGAATCACCGGCGACAGTGAGGCTCGTGAGTACGCAGAGCACAGGGAGCTGATCTGACCTGGCAGTCCAGGTAACCGCTGTCTGATTCATCATTGTCGAATCAGCCAAAAAGGACACCGCTCTTAATCGTACGGCTCAGCGGTGAGAGGAAACTCGTACGTGTATATTACCAGGATCGTACGATTCTCGCTTAACGCCAGTAATCCTCACCTCACCCTAAGCCAGGTCAGGAATATACCAGAGGTTGCAATGGTGGGGTTCCTCGGAGCCACGGTTACGGGATGGGACAACGACAAACTCGACAGGAATAATGAATGGATAAGGCCTTCGATCTAGAGATTCAGATCCGACGATGGTCGCATCCTGGAGCTGTAGACGTCTCGATACTTGTCAGGGCTCGTAATGTGTTGGAACCCGGGTTAGATGTGAACAGGGCAGGTCAGGTCTAACTGGGGTTAGTTACGATCTGATGGGGGTAACCTGGGTTAGGCGCTTCGGATTAACTGCGTTATCGAGGTCAGGACGGACGCTGTACTGGGATGAATTATGCGTGGGCGGTTGCAGCCGCCACGGAAACTCGTTGGACGCAGAGACGATGTCCTTCTGCTACCGGACCCTGTTGTCCTGAAGAGGTCGGGGACAGTTCACGAGATGGGACTCGATCGAATGCTGTAGACTCGAGCAGTGAAGTCCGAGTCTCCACTTTCTGACAGAACTATCTCCTGTACATCGCCTGATTTTTCGGTGGGCATTTTTGGTTAACCGCATGTTATCTCTCTCCGTTTATCACACGAGATTCTGGAGGCCCCGAAGATTGCTCCCTTTAGTGCTAGAAAGTGTAGACTTCTTTAATTCTGAGCTGAGCTTTTCGTCTGCTGCAAAGATTCTCTTCGCTCGACCCCAGATCGAAACAGTTGTGGGATGTTCTTATTTACAATATAGTTATCACTTTGGGAATTGGTGGCCAAGATTGATGCTCTACCGGAGTCAGGATATATTCATGTGCATGTAAGGTATGTAGTTCGGAAGGGTGACAGCTCTTGAAAGTAGTGAGTGGGGTGTTGCATCGTTGATGAATTGTGAATATTACGTGAGCAGGCCGCAAAAACAAGACTTCCTGGGACAGGTTGTCTATTATATATCGACATTTAGAAACTTGCTGCAGGAACATCAGGCCATGATTTTTCGCGTGCAGGCATTTACTTTCGAAAGACTTACGATAAATTCTCCCATTCAAGCTCTCTCACTGTTGGAATAATTCTGCTAAGCAAGTGTTTTCCTCTTTGGAAATGTATTATTTCTAAAAAAGCTGATGTGTATATCTACGATGCGAGAAAATTGAACATTGTAGTTTCGACTTTGGCGCAGTTGATGGTATTCATTGTAGGTATCCTCGGCGCACGAATGGTGAGCAACATTCTGACAAGATGGCAATCGAACCGTTTGCATTCTACCGAGACTGGCCTGCGGTCTAAAGCAGCTCTCCGAAAGTCCGCCTTTCTAGTTTCAAACGATGGTCAAAGTCGTAACCACCAACACCATCGAGCGCAACGAAGTGTCATGTCCAAACTCCGTTCAGAGATTGCAGGCTCGAGAAGAACCGGGAACATCGATGACTCATACATGCTTCGAGATTGAATGAACAGGACTGTGAGTTGTAACTAGCCGCACACCACAATCTCACTCCTCTGCCCTCGCTCCTGCCTCCCCTCTTCATTCGCTATCTCGACAGTTGTAGAACTTTTGCTGTCACCGACAAACTTGGTGCAACCCATCGCACGTGGGAACAAAGGATCCGTGGAGAAATTCGGAAAAGTGATTTCGACATTTCCTATCGGAATTTGATGAAGTAAACAGTTGGCTTCCCTGAGTTCAATTAAAGACTTATTGAGGTTATTGTTAGTTTTAAACATTCCGTCTGCTCAGCAAGCATAGGACACATGTGGCGCAGGAAACGGGAAGCCAGTAATTGGAGCATCGATGGGATATGATTCTTCTGCAGGCGATCGAATCACCATGAGTTTCCAGTCCTTCTGATCAACAGATGGATCATACGCACTGTATGCTCTTCGAACTCGATTATTGTTTACGTGTAGGACAAGTTTAGGTTACTGGGCAATGACACCACATCTGAAGGTACAAAAGAATTAACAACTGAGTGCGATTTGACGTCACACGAGATCTGCGACACGACGTAACACATAACGCCTTCCATGCTCGAGATATCCTTCCCGAAATTTGCTTGGTAAGGACGAGCTTCAGTTAACACACTCTGGGTACTGTACTTTCCGCTGCATCTTCGCCTTGAATCGGTCTCGATAAATCAGTTGATAAACCACGACTTTAATCGTCGCGGATCGTTAATCGGCAACGATTTCAGTACGCTAAGTAGCCGAGGGTACACGATGAGATAGTTAGCGATTGCGCCGAGGAGTGCACGTCAGTCAAGCCACTTTTTACGTTTTACCCTTGGGAGTCGTAGTCGAAGCCCTGAGACCGTCAACTGGCTGGAAGATAAGTCAAAGAGAATCAATGCTCGAGCAACTACTGGATCAGTGTCACGTAAAGCTCAATCGAGAGGAGCTGCGACGACTCGCGGATTGACTCAATCGACTCTGGAGTGAGGAACGTGAGGTTTTAATTTAGATTTACATTCGTTTGTTGTTCTGCTGTCGAACGTGAGCAAAGCAGCAAAGGCAGCCTGCCTGCCAAGCTCTGTGTGAAACGAATGATCGACATTCGAAGCACGTTCTGCCCTGCACGTACGTGCTCGAGCAGGAATTGAATCTGTCTGCCGAGAGAGATGTCTGGATCGAGAGATGACGCAGCTGACTCGTCACCCCCCTGGCACAGACAGATCACTGCAGATGAGGAGGTGCTTGCCAGTCAGAGATCTCTGCAAACTCGGCCGGCGTGCAAAAGTTACATCATTCTAAATTATCAACTCTATCAGCCCGACTTCCCCTTTGCCGTGATCTTGTCTTTTTGTTGTTTTTTTCGTGACCTGATGCGTCTTTGTCTTGTTGGTAATTTCTGCGAGGACGCCCTGTCCTCGAGTAGAAAATGAGGAATGTCTCGTCTCGGATTTCTCCCCTCTCGGGTCATATTTCTTTTCCGTTTGCCAGAAAAAGTGCACAATGTCCTCTCTGGTATGCCTTCTGTAAAGACTCGGCTTCAGGTGACGTTTGGTCGTCCTCCATGTGCTGCTTTATCAGGACTTGAATATAAGAAACCATCGATTCTACTCACTACAACGTCGAGAACAATCGTTGCGCTTCCAGTCAGTCGATAAGCTCTTCCGAGAGAACGCCACATCAACTACTCCTCGTCTAGCCTTCGCTGAGACGAACTCTGACTCGCATGTCAGCAGGCCTCGTGGAGTGACCGACCTCAGGGCTGGTAAGAATGTGACTTCTGTATGCGGGACAGAGGTCCTGAGTGCCTCCGAGCATAATCACTAACATACACATCAATTACGTCGCATAACACATTCCACCACCTTGTGCTGACCATTCACAAATTCGACATAAGTCGGAGGGACACTCGAACTTAGAAATCAGGACACATTCCACCTTGTGCTGACCATTCACAAATTTGACAAAAGTCGGACGGACACTCGACTTAGAAATCGGGACACATTGCACCTTGTGCTGAGCATTCACAAATCCGACGTAAGTCGGAGGGACACTCGAACTAAGAAATCAGGACACATTCCACCTTGTGCTGAGCATTCACAAATTCGACACAAGTCGGAGGGACGCTCGAGATTAGATATTAAGATACAGGCGAGAATAGATCGAAAGAGTGCGAGCTCTCCCTTGTGATGTTTTCGATTAATTATGGACAATCTCATCAACAAAAAAAAAGAACTTTCGACGATATTTTTTCCCTCGTGGTTTCAGCAGGAGAAAAGAGCTACAATTACATACAATATCAATGGACAACTAACGGGAAGAATGGGATCAGCTACATGTCTACCAAGACCTATGCTCAATATTTTACAGTAATAAGCGGAACAGCAATCGCACGGCAGTAGATTTCGAGTGAGCGTCTATTGAGATTTCTTTTGCAGTGCGGTGGCCGATTCTTTCTTGCCTTGCGAGGTAGAATCAGAAGCAGCAGTGGTGGCAGCAGAAGCAGAAGAAGAAGAGCTCGGTAATGACGGCCCGGAATCGACTGATTTCGCAGGCGGCACTTTGGAGATCAAATCGGCAGCAGCTGCAGAGGAGTTTCTGGCCGCAACACTCTCCAGGAACGTGGTCCTCCCTCCCTTGAAGAGCTCGGAGTCCGGCACATGTCGACGAGTCGAGGAGTTTCTGCCAAAAGTACTGCCACTTATTCCAGTCGAGGCTTGCCTGCTCAAGCTTGCCATCCCCGTGGAACCGGTGCGATTCAATCCGCCCATTCCCGCCGCCGAGCCATTCCTGCTCAGGCCTGGCATTCCTGTCGATGCATTCCGCCTCAATCCTTGCATCCCGTTCGACGAGGTTCTGTTCAAGCCCGGAGACGACCCTCTGTTGGCCTGCGACGCTTGCCGGCTCAGCGAGGCAGAGACCTGCCGGCTCAGAGATGCCAGGACCTCCTCGTGATCGCGCTCACGCTTCTGAGATGAAGTGCGGCTCATCACATTGTCCCCGGCGTAGAACATGCCCGGATGCCCTGCCACGAGGTCGGCGAAATCTCCTTTCTCTGCAGCCATCATGCAGGTGTTGACATAGCAATCGCGGAACCTCACGAGAATGCGTTTGGGCGACAAGGCCGAGAAAAATTTGGACAGCCCGGATTGATTTTTTTTCTTTTCCTTCGCGTGCGCGATGGCGAGCTTCTGACTCGCCGCTGCCAGAGTCGTGGCGACCTCGTCATCGTTCAGCAACAAGGTGTTGATGTTGGTCTCTTTCTCTTCGACGGCTTTCCCCTTCTCTTCTTTCGTCTTCGCGACGTGCTCTGCTCCAGATGCTGCTGCTGCTGCTGCTCCTCCGGTCTTCAGAACCACGTTCTCTCCGACTGGTGCGGCTGATTTCGCCGTGGCCACAGCACCGATGGGCTCGCTGGTCTTCGCCACCTGCTCTACCGCAGGAGCAGCATTTTCACTCGTCGTCGTCGTCGTCGTCTTCACCGCCTCCTCGACTGAGGGAGGCGACTTTTCATTCGGCGCTGCTGCAGCAGCAGCAGCAGCTGAAGGGGCTTGTGATTTTTTGGTATTCGGCACCTGCTCTACGGCTGGTGCTACTGATTTCGTTGTTATTTCAGGCGGCTGCTGCTGCTGCTGCTGCTGCTCGCTAGTTTTCACAACCTGCTGTGAAGATGGAACCTCTGATTTTGCGGCCACGACATCCGGCTGCACCTTTTCCTCTCCACCGACCTTACTGGCCTTCTCGTCGACGACAATATCGACCACTCCGTTGCCATTCTGCAATGTTTCTTGTTCAGCCCCCATTGCTTCTAATCCATAAGCTTTATAGGCAGGCCTTTGCCACCATGTACGGGTGATCTGCGCTAGAATCGATCAATCAATCCAATCAAACAACTCCTCACGATATATCTACAATGTTTTCGCCACTGTCGAAGCCTACGGAACAGGGAGAAAAGGAGGGAGACACAGACAGAACAGAAGGACCGAAGGGGATCGGTCGAAGAGGAGAACGGTTTAGAATTTCAGACTGTGCCCTCGCTCAGAGCTACGAAGACAGACGCAGGCAGGGAGACAGACCCCCGAGAGACTTTCTATGCCTGCGACGAGGAGGCAAGAGACGAGGACCCGAGCAGAACTGGTCAACGAACTGCTGCTCGGACGCTGCTTTCTCTCTCGGACTCGCTCAAACTCTGCGCTCGGTGGGCTCGCTTTGTCTCTCGCTCGCTCCTCAGCCAAGCGAGCTTGCCTCGTCAAAGAAAGCAAGCTGCGAGGTGAGTACAAGTGAGGCGAAGGAGGCGGATGAGGAAGCAGAATGCGACACAGCAGAGCTATAGCGAGAGCGAAGCGGAAAGGACCGAGCTGTCACCTGGCTCCTGCACAGTGGCAGGCTGACAGGCAGCGACGCAGGCAGACCATCGGGTCGACCATTCCTCATCACTGTACAGCAGAGTGGAGTCACTGGAGTGGATGCTTTACGGGACTATATTGTCGAGCATGGAATCCTTGACCGCCATGGCCATGCTCTCGCTCTCTCTTTCTCTGCCTGTGTCTGTCCGTCCGTCCGTCTGACTCACTCAACTCCCTCCCTCACTCCCTCCCCTGACTGCTGCTGCCGCCGCTGCTCTCTCGCTCTCGGGGGCCGCGTCTTCCTTCCTTTCTCAGGGCCCACCGGGTCAATGCCCCTCCTCAAGAGTTACCTTCCAATTTCCTGCTCATTGATAATCCAAAAGTTCTCCCTTGCAGCCTTTCTCCACTTTCGTCCCTACGACTTATGATTTTCTCGAGTAGCAACATTATGATGTACGTGCTCCTACCCCAAGAATCGAACTTTGCAAGTTTCCATTTTTCCATAGCTTTTATGGGTTCTTCCGGGTTTACGCTTCAGGATCAGTGTCTTAATTTGGACGAGCTGATTCTGACCATAAAATCAACTCTCACTTACAGTCAGTGGTCACTTGCGAACCTTCAGTGAACGGTCTGTATCGTACTGGATCATAACTACGCAGTTCAGTGACCTACGAAACTTCGTCCTTTGCAGTTTTTTTATTCTTGGTATAACAACGCAAGAAGTGATACATTGCAGTCGAACTCCGTTGTGCCAATAGTTACCGAGCAAAAGATACTAAATTTGAACGATAGTTATTATAATTGTTTTGAAAATATTAATCTATTTACGGAGTCTTAACTGGGTTCACATGCACCGAGGCTCGCCCGCTCACCACTTTATCGCCTGTGGTTTTCAACACCGAAATGTGTCAGCTTAATGGATAACTCTATTTTAATTTATTCTATTATATTCTATTTATGTTTAACGTCTCTTGACATTGTCTCTGTTAACATTGTCTCTTTAGGTCAGGTTACGGTAGCAAAAACTATAGTGATCAATTATTGTATACGATAGAGGAAAATAATCAACTGAACAGGTAGTTTTGACCAATACAAATTGATTTTCTATCTGTTTAAAAATGACAAACCTGATTACACACAAACCTTCGAGTTGATACATGTATATTATTGTATTGGAATATAAAATTTAAGATGGATTTATAGAATGCAGATCCTGCTAATATTTAATCTCTCACATGTGCCATGGACAGTCTTCTTGATTCCGAGCATATATTTATATATATATCCCACTTTTCACACCATTCTCGGTCGTAACTGGGTTCCATGTAACCACAGTGTCTACACAGAGGATTATTCTATCCAGTTTTTATTCCTGTATCGAGCCAGTATGGTTTTCAAAATTAATCCATATGCTGAGATATAGGGAAATATCCGAGGAGGAAATATGATTGATACCTGCATCACGACACGACCGATTGATGATAATACACTTGAATGACAGACTGTCTTGGCTTCCGTGTTCCCTCAATAAAGCACCAAACGTATACCGAATGTCTTCGGAACTTCAATGGAGATAAAGGTAGACAGCAAAATAAATTCACACATTGTCCTGTGATTCTCGAACAGCCCAGCGATTCAACGAACAATCGGCCTCGTGGACAAACTCGAATGTCCGAAATCGTCGGAAGTCCGAGGCCAGCCACGCCGACGTGTCCAAGTTCCAATACCAAGTTCCGAATGTAACGCATGCTCTGCAACCACGTCCGCCCGCGCATGTACGTTCCGTGTTATGGACAGTCAACGGAGTCACCACGTTCCTGGACGGATTTCAGTCTTGGTTAACGGTTAACTGACAGAAGTTGACGGAGCTTGATATTATGAACGTTGTTGACTAGGCCGACCCCTGCCGGCGGCCCTAACTTGGGCCGAGCCACGAACGCGTCAGCGTCCATTAACTAAATTGTACTTGTCCTCCTGTGGTACGGGAAGCACTGTCAGCAAGCCACGTGGACAAGTTTGCAGTCCGCAGTTCGTAGTTTAGAGGAGACATGACCTACACTGGTAACCGTAATTAGTTCGGGCCCCACTAATTTCGAGGCCAAAATTGCTGGGGCAACATTTTAGAAAGAGAAGTAAATGTGGGCCAAACTCTTTAGAAACTGCAAAATGTTACCCTAATAGTGTAAAGTTGAAATACACAAATTGAGTTGCATGCTACTTCAGTGTAGGCCGCAAGAACGAACGTGTTCTTAATTTGTTCATGATGCTGCCCATCTGGTTTTTTCAATTGGGTGAATTTGATCCGATTTTCTGTTTTTTCAATTTGTTGAAATGGATGGATTTTTCGTAATGGTTTCACACTAGTCACCACGGCCACCGAAATATCATAGAACTCTCATACATAATTGTGGATTCAACTTGATGTTTTCTAACAAATGTTTATCTGATTAAGCCACATTACGCAATCGTAGAGATTTAACATATGCCCATACATGAATTGTGTTGCAATAAAATGCTGATGATATAATGCACATATCTCATGTAGTAATAAACTCAATTGTTTCAAGTGTCAATGTCCTAACTAAAATGATCGAAAAGAATCACAATTAATCATACCTCATTTTAAATCAATCAGTATGGTAAATTTTTAAATTGGCAGAAAATTAGTATAATAATAAAGTGTTGTTGTACCGTGGACATGGTATAGAGAGATAAATCACATACTTTGTGTGTTTATTCTCCGTCATCCGACAAAGAAAGACATATTCTCCAGCTTTTAATCAAGGCTTACAAAATAGTGGATAATTCCTAAAATTAATCTATTTTATGTTTTAATGTGTAATCAATTGTTCATTAAATTTTAATGAACAATTTTTACTTTTTCAGCTGTGAAGTTTAATACAACGATACACTTTCAGTATCTACGCCATTTCTGATCTCATCTGAACAAATATAATTGGACAATCACAAATTACCCTTGGAATTTATCTACAATGTCAGCCATTTCAATCATCTATTTCACAAAGTGCATGCCTGCATTGGTCCCACATAACTGAACACCAACATCTGCCTATCTTCATATTCATTATCTGCCCGAGCTTCAATTTGGACTTCACACCAATGTAGCTGGAGCTATGTCCAGACTGTACACTACGAAAGCACAATTTACTGTCTTGCACAAGCTACAAATAACGGTGAAAGCGATAACCTATGCACCATGTACAAGCTTGTTCTCGGTTATACTGATGACAAACGAGATCCGCCAGTTGATAGTGCTGTAAAAATATCTCAGATTCACACTAATTAACATAACTAATGTAGAATTCATATGGATTCGTAAGAAAACGAATCACTGCTGACAATAAAAATATGTAATGTTTATCCAACTATCACCACATAAGTGAACAACCCGGGGGAGACACACATGCAATAACTGGAGTCTCGCTTGTGTATATTTCAATTTATTTAACATGAAATTTTGTCTCCGACTGTTGTGACTCTTGCGTATCTAATTAACACGATCTTCACCATGGGTAAGTACAATGATCTTTGAAAGCTTGCATGGAAATCTCATCTTAAAGTTGCTCCCCCACGACAATTGCAACGTGAAGGATTATTGAAGACCTTTTATGGAAGTAAGAACCCAACGTACATAACTAGTGAGAATTCAATATTCAATCATTGAGCAAAAGATGTAAATAATAAGAGAGTGAATATGTTTACAGTGAATAGCGGTTCATCGCTATTTACTTATATATATATATATATATATATATATATATAATATGCGGGAAATTCCCTTGCAATGCGGGAATGATCAAGTTGAGATCGAAGTTGCGTTCCGAGAATCTTTGTCACATCGAAATTTTTATACTGAGTCGCTTGCCAGTATGAATAATAATGTGTTGAGGTGGGCAGCATCCCACAACTCTTTTCAGATGCTTTGCGCCTTTTTTGGGTCGGCCAGGTAGGAGCGGTAAGAAGCAGCCTCTTCCATGCATGTAGTTCAGTTTCCTCTTCATCCAATGCCCTAGAAAACGAAGATGAAGCCATGTTTGTGTGGGTGGCAGTCACGGTTTTCAATTGTATTGAGTTGACTTGTACTTCACTTTCGTCTTAAGCGACCAGTGATATATACTGGTGCTCTTTCAGTGAAGATTTTGTGCACCCGTAAGGGCCCTGTTCCCAGCGAAGTTGTCTTTTCCTCCAAGCTACACAGACAGCAGAACAGCCATGTCCCTTCACCAAATTTTTTCAGCGGAAGAAAGGCAAGAGCAATTTAGCATTAGTGATCTATCCTAAGAGCATTGATGGAAACCCTTGCAGTCAATTGTCTCTTATACTATTAAAATTGATAGAAATAATAACTGACGATCATGAGTAATTTATGTGGATCTATGGATGTATGAGCATTAAGCTCTTGCAAACCTAATACGAGATTGCCATTTTTTGCCGATCAGATGATATTATTTCTGCTTTATTGAAGCGAATTATGAGAGATGACATATGTGCGTGCCTTAAATTCAAGAAGAAAACTTGCAATCTGTCAGTATGTGACATCTGATCTGATCTTGTGGTTTATTGTTGATCGGATTCCGTAAGAATAAATTATTGTCAAGACTTGAGAACATCCTCTTATGTGCTTCATCTTCCAAGTACGAAGGTTTCGGAAAAGTCCAGCGCATCTTTCATTGCATCTCAGAAGACATCACTATATAATGTTGGCAATAGGCAGTAATCATCATATATTTAAGTACATCCATTGCCCCATCATCAAATGAGACAGTGGATGATCTTATGAAAAAGTATGCAGGTAGAACTACAAGTTGTGGGGGAGGACGGATCCTGTGTGTCTTGTACTCTATCACTGAAGCGGCAGTCAATGAGATTTTCTGAA